GTAATTTTCTTCAAAAGAAAGCCAGTAAAATTCTGATTCAGAAAATGCACTTCAAAATATTTTATAATATTGTTCGTTGTTAAAAACTCTTTCTGGTACCCAAAGATTTTCTTCGAATCGAAATGAAACCAACTGTTTCTGTTTATTTTCATTGTTGAGTAGCTTGGACCTAGGAAATACTCTGCTAAAACTGGTATTGTAAAGTACCGGTTTTGTAGAAATGTTCGTGGAGGTTCGACAGATTTTGGCAAGTGCACGAAGTAGCTGTGGACATGGGTTTGTTTTGTTATGAAAAAAGTATCAGCTTGTTGATCAGTAGAAAGACTGCAATAGTTGACATCCTTAATAAATGTTTCTGGAATAAAAAGTCTCGATGAAAACTTCCGGCTGCGCTGTTTTTCAGGCATTTTCCCAAAAAATTCGCTTTAAGCACAATTATATGCACGGGTAATAGTAAAACACGAAGACACCCACAGACATCTACAAACACTTACACAGCATACAGACATCCACAGATGGCCACTGACAATGACACAGACAGTAGAGAGACACCCACAGACAACCTAAAATAACTTCACAGGCATCCACTTCTGTGTCGCTCCCATGTACGTAGATGTGGATGTCTGTGGGTGTTCCTCTGCAGCTGTGTAGCTGTCAGTGGCTATCTGTCGATGTCTGTGTGCTGTCTGTAAGCATCTGTAGATGTCTGTGAGTGTCTTCATGTTTTACTATTACCCTTATATTCACTAACAATCACAATCTATTAGTCGTTAGAGGCCGTATGCTGAAGTACGGAGAAGATCAGATCATGCACTTTATCATGGATGATAATAATCATCTGCTTTATAGAATCAAAACAAGGAAATAAATGAACAATTATTCGTTTTATCTGTTCTTATTGCATTCTCATAATAACTTAAATTTTGCAAGATAACGAAGATCTTGTATCTGTAGCGCAGACAAAGCAGACAAGCAGACAAGCAGAAATTGAAATGGTATATGAACTAAGGATTATTAGAGTGGAGTTACTGGTACACTTGAATTACATGAGAGAGCTACCGTAGAGAGGCTAACATCTTGCGTATGTTGCAATGGTGTGAATATTCAAAAGTAAAATTTAGTGGAATGCAGAAATGTTTAACCTATCATCCTGTCAGAGTCGAAGTCTTGGTTTTGCTTTTTGTTCCTAGTTGGCTGCTGTATTTCTGACCAGAGTTCTAGACTTTTCCTAGAGAGGCAGACAATGAAACTATATTTATCTACAAAATCGTGCATAACATGATTTTCGCTTATCTCTGAAATCTCATCGTTTTAAAACAAAATATTAATATCCGGACGATGCAGCACTTTCAACCCCTAGATATACATCGTGCTACAAGTAGTACCAATCACGTTGAGAAATAAATTTTAGTCAGTACTAATCCGGACTGCAGCGTTTTTGTAAAACTGTTATGTGTTACTGGTGATCTTATTTACTAATGATGTGTGCTTGGTATGCGCATACGATAACTTATACCTCTGAACACTCAAAGATATAGAAACACCACAGATATTTCAGTAGAAAATATTGTTGTGTCGTCATCAAATTTTGATTTAACTAGAAATACAGCATGTGATAAGATCAAAATAATCCAATAATACTGCATGATGACACTCTTTTGGACTAAGAGTCGAGGTATTATATGTTTCTAATTTAAATTCTATGTCTATGACATCTACTTTTATATGATATAATATAAAGTGAATTTATCATCAAAATAGTTAATCTTTAAACGTAAATATCAAAAAACAAATTATATTTCGTCACCTGAATATGTGTGCATACTCATATACGAACAACGATGAAAAGAAGAAGATATATGCAGTGAAAATATCCTTCACAATTGAGTCATATCGTTCATCCTTAGGTGGTGAAGTTTCAGTTTTCGTTCTAGACGACGAATATTCATCACTGTTTCGCCAAAAAGGATCGAGTTTCTAATGAAAATCTTAACTGTTTGAAAACGAAAATCCAGCACAATTTTTGAACGATGATTTTGATTTTCTCTTCTACGCTCCTTTTCTGTTTCATCTCAATTCAGCTCGTCAGTTTCTACTCCTAAGCAAAAACGACACAATTTTTTGGGTTATTAATCTAGATTCAGCTCCACGTGCATCTGGCTGATTGGTGTGTATCGAATGGAAATAGTAGGAGTTTTAACTAGCCTCAGTCTGTGGCTCTTCAAACTTCACGTAGTGTAGTTGATGTTCTAGTTTTGATATGTTTGATCCGAGCACAATAGTTACTCAGATCATCGATAAGATGTGTAAATTTACATTAGTCGCTCTTCTGTCCATTATTCGTTAGCAAAATGAGAGAATTAAATGAGGGGGAAAATGAGTTCGATACGAATCGATAGATTGAGAGTTGCTCTTTCAGAATACGAAACTATTCCAGTGTACTCTGTCACTTCGACTATAACGAGAAATCTCAGTCACAAAGCATCACCAATCTTAACGTCATTCTGGAACGATAATACGGTGATATTACTCGAAATCGAGGCTTTTGGAATAAAAACTTGTTAGTGGAACAGACAGATTTTCTAAAGAGCTAGCGATTAAGTTGTGTTTTTATTATCAGTTGTTGTCGGACACCTCACAAGCTGTGATGTAGAATACCTGTATGACAAGATCGCTCGATTCTTTTTGGCGAAACAGCGATGAACATTCGTCGCCTAGGACGAAAACTGAAACTTCATCACCTAATGATGAACGATGTAATTTGAGACTTGCCACTTTACCATCGGCCTCAAAGATGCAAACTATGTGCTCGAAAGAACACATGTGAGGGAACACTTCACGAGTTACTTACAGATGATCCTAGAAATCGAAGACACTCTCAAAAACAGTTAATTTTCAAATGATTTTCTGTTAGCACGAGAGCGCTAGCTCCGTTTTCGCTCAAAACCGGGCATTCCAGACAAGTCGGCGAGATATAATGACTGCAAGTGTCACCAGCTCGTTGTACTCTCTGACCCATAGCCTTTATGATCCTCGCATCCCGGAAAATAATAAAATTAAAGAAAGAAAGAAAGAAAAAAAGAAAGCATGAGGAAAGGAACCTAGCAACAAGTAGAAAAAATCAACGGGGCTCATGGTTCTGTCGGCTTAACTTGACGATTTCTGTACTCGTTTCAAGTACTATCGAGTATGCTCTTTTCATTGGGCACATTTGTTTTTGTTGATTTTCAACATCAGGATCCAAAGTTATGGTTCGCTGTTAATTGGCCATACAGATTTCTATATTTAATACGTTATAAAAAAGTTTAGTTTTATAGATACATAAGTTTATACGACAGGATTTGATCATAGGATTACAAAGAAATCAAAATTTCCGTTCAAGAACAACTGAAATGGGATGAATATTAAATCGAACATATTTTTCAACGTATCATTTAAAGTTTTTTCTTTGCCATGTACATGCAAAACTAAAGGCAGAAATCATAATTAAATTAGGTTAAGTTTGACAAGCAAATATGCTCAACATACTTCATCAAACAGAATATATCCACCGTGATTCGTATCGATAGAATTGAATTCTTCTCTTAACGCTTCTTCATCGTCACTATCTTGATTGAGTAAATCATAACCTTTCTTAAATTCATTAAAACTAATTCGTTTATCTTTATTCTTATCCAATTGTTGAAACACTTGTGATATTTCATTGTAATAATGGAGTAAATCAACAATTTTACCAAATTCAGCCAGTTCAACAAATCCATTCTAATCAACAGAGAAAAAACAATGAATAGACAACAACGAAAACCCTTTTTTCATACTCCACTCGTATCAGCTGCTTTATATGCTCTCATAATGGCTGGTTTATTATTTGCAAATTGAGGATAAAGCCGTATGATTGCTTTATCAATTTCAGCAAGTGACAATACACCATTTCCATTGTCAAATTGTTTAAATAACTACAAAATATAATAAAATTTAATTAAAAATTAGTCTAGAAACTTGATACCAACCTTTTTAATATCGGTTTCGCTTTGAGTTTTTGTCATTTTCTATGTATAGTGTTTTAACTGACTAATACTGAAAAAGAAGTATTTTTAGATTTCTGAATAAACTTTCTGTGTATGTGTGTTACAGAATTTTTTTCTGTTTGCAGAAATAAAGAAGAACGACGTGTATAAAACTTGATGGGTAAAGTATTTCTTTTTTTATTTAAATGAGAATTTTTTTTTTAGTATATTATTCATATTATCTTCCTGGTAAGATTCTATTTTTGTCATTATTTCTTAGAACAAGAAAGGACGCATACAGGAAAAGAACAAACAGAATACAGCACACATCATAAAAAGAAAAATCTTTTTCACAAAAAAAAAAGAATTGAGAGTTTTTCGTCTTACAGTCAGAATATGGTTCAAATTTCTGTCGCCTTTGATACAAAGAGAATAATAAATTGCAAATTATCGCAGAATGAAAAAGAAGAAAAGAGTCAAGTATATGTTTGCTTTAGTCTAATTACTGTATCGAAACAATTTCTTTCTTTTCTATGGAATAAAAGGATTGACGATGACAGTTACCATAAAATGTTTTTATTTCCACTTTTACATTTAGATTGTAAAATTCATACATGTAAACCGTTTTGAGTTACATTTTGAAAGTATTATCTGTCCAAATGCATAGTGGCCGCGGTCATCTGTTTTAGAACTTTTTAACGGAACAAGATGAAGACCTGCCGGTTCCAGTGTGTTGTAGCCAGGATCTGACAGCATCTTCCTATGTATAAATCAATTCTACCAATGAGGTCTACCAGGTGTCCTGATTGATATTCCAAAGGCGAGATTGGCGCTCCCTAACTTTTCATACAAGTCTAATGTTTGAAAATAAGCCTAACATCGAGTGACATCTAGTCTACATATCTGCTAAAACCCGGCAGCTCTATCTACGATTGTTCCGACAGGAGCGGACTTTTGCTGAGACACCTGAGAACCGGATTTTTTTTTGATATTTAGAAATTTGAAAACGCATGGAAACATAGGTTATCGACCACGCTGAATCTTATGGCAGTGTTTTTTTTCAGAAAAGCTTCGAAAAATATTGAATTCCTGTAGTAGACTAAACAATCTATTTTTTACTATTGTTACCGAAAATCATAACTCACTCAAAATTGCTTCAAGAATATCAGGATACACTCAATTTTATCTGCTTAACCATATTTTGTAGTAAAAATTAGTCGCAAAATGTTGTTTTATTCCCGAGGCTTTCTAGAAGGCCTTTCGAAAACCAAAGTACTTTCTGTTGGCTTTTCTTAACTATTATTGAAGTTCATGGTGCAGCAGAGGTAAAATGAATATATTCTGATATTCTGAAGCAATTTTGAGTTATGAGTTTTTTAACTGTTTTAACAGGTGAATGAAACTACCGAATAGTTGCATATTTCCATCAACATAAGATGTGTCTGTTCGAAATTTCGCACTATATATAAAAGCATCACCGTCAGCATCCAGACTATGTGGATCTTGTAGAGCAGCAAAATTAATAAATTTTGGCGCCATACGAAGCTATCTATCGGACGCGTGAGAGCTGAGAAAATTGTACTTTTTACTGTCGCAGCAACTTTCGTCATGTTGCACCCAATTCTATCTAACTTGCAGTGTCTCTCCTCTCTCTCAGAACCTAATACATCTTGTTTTGAAAAAGTAACTTAAAATCTTTAAAACCTGAGGCAAAAAGTTTGCTTGTAGAGTGGATTTTGAGGAAAATATCTGCAAAGATCGACTGATTTTGCCGGTATCAAAATCGAATTTTTTATGAAATATTGATAAAAAGAAGTTTTTTATTGGACGCTTTATCTAAATAACTTATAATGGTAGTTTCATATTAACAAAGATCAATTGACACCCGTTACCCAGTTTAAGTAACCTTAAGTACGGAAGCTAGATATCTATGAGAACATATTTATACCAGTTACCTGTAGTTGTTGAATGGACGTGATTTAGAGCTTCGTTCTTGTGTAAAACACAAAAGACCTATTAAACTTGTTCAAAATTTAGTTTATGGTCGAGGTGCTCGTGAAACAGCGTCCCATTACCTGCCTGAATGTAAGAACTACACTCAGCGGAGTTCGAAGCTGCTTCGGTAACTGGAGAGTTTGTTCCCCAACACTAATATGACTATCTGTCTTCTCTTAATGAGAGACAGTGATCTTCGCACACTTTCCATAGCTAAATTGAAGAAACATAGTGGAAGAAATATAGTGCACATTGTACATATAGTCACTGCACCTATTGAGTTTTCGTTAAATATAAATCTGATTATATGTTTTTCGCTCTTTCCCATATCCACTTTTTTTGTTACTGTTTTTCCTCATATATCTCTTTTCTTTTCTTTATCCATTTTTCTTCTAATTTTTTTTATCAATACCTGCTATCCGCTCCTTATAATCCCTGTATTGGGAATCGCGATCTACAGTGCCTTGGCGATTTATCTTTCATAATTATTTAGCTCAAAATTCATCTGTCTTCAAGGTTAAACACAAAATGCTCGCGCGAAATCACAGGCTTAAACTTACCTATACGGCAGAAAGAACTAACGAAATGTCGCATATTTTGGTAGAAATCACTAGTAAAACCCAACAACCTTTGTTCACATGAAACTACCATTATAAGTTATTTAGATAAAGCGTCCAATAAAAA